CTAAATAATAGGTCAGCTACGACTGCTCATTGTTACAATAGTATACGATGATTTTCTTAGCTCAGAGTACACATGATAATGCTTTCTAGAGAGTAAGTGTTTATATCCCTGAATCTCCACTATTCACAGCCTTATGAATAATTACCTTGGAAAATGGTGATTTAGAGCATTAAAAGAAACCAGGAGTAATGATAAATAGGAGTTTAGCAGGTTAAAATACACTGAAAGAAACTTAATTCTCAGACAGATATGACAAGAAATATTCTATGGACACTTTACATAGAGCCTTGTAACAAAAGATCTGGGGGAGCAAATGCCTCATTAGATTTAAATATCCTATTGCCCTTCCTGATTTATTCCAACTAGCTAGTTCAGATACCTAGGATAACCGTTTATTTAACAAAATAATGTATTTGGGTAATGTTTAGGTAGGATGACTAGGTCACTTGTTGTCCAAAATGGGACAATAAGCATAAACTGGGACTGTACCGTTGAACACCCTATTCACAGGAGAAAGCATGTTAATAAAAATCAGGTAAAAATGGAGAAAGAGAGAGAGAGAAAGTTACTGCGAAAAAAAGAAAAGGAAAAAGGACCCAAGATCACTTGATGGTTATTTGAAGAGAATGAAATTTACTGCGAGTTGGTGACAGGAAGGGAGCTACATGTTTGAGTCAAACAGGTTTTTTTTTAATGCCAGCTGCTAACCCTCTCCATTACTACCCAGCCACCAGTCATTTTTTGGTGCAAAGACCTACCCTCCCAACAAAACTGAAGCACCTGCCACAAAAGATTGCTGAATTACAGTCGCTGTCCAAACTGCTGCATGAAGTATTTACCCTGGTATGAAAAATGCTATATGCAGATTTTAATTTCTTATCATTTTAGATTGTTTATTTGAAACATAAATAGGTTGCATCCTAGTGACATTCCTTTTTCAAATTATGACACTATCACAAATTGTCATTTGCCACATTCTCAAACAACTGACTATAATTTGAGAGGCACAGATAATCACCCCTTCATGGAAGAACTAAAGAATACCTCTTAAGGCAATAATGTCACGTCAGGCAATGTGGAGTGCGTTGCTACTTGAGGAGAAAATGTGCTGCGCACTTAACATCTGACTTCTTACTTGAATTAATGTATGTCAGAACCTAATGCCTTACACTGAGAAAGTCATCAACATATGATGTTGATGTAGAGAAGAAAAGATACTACAAACAATGTATGTAATATTTTTCATGAGGGAAGACTTGCTTTGACCAGGAAGTAATTTTCTAATTATGAATAATTAGAAGCAAAAATATCCCTCCCATAGAGACTTAGATAATAAAGAATATTTATTTTTATCTTTGTTACATTTAGGAATCATATTTTGTGTAATCAATGTTAAAAATTACATGTAATTTCTGTGCTACATGGATATTATAATGAAATAAGTATTTCCTCATATCATAGCCTTTTCGTGTCATCTCAGTGAACAATGAACTAGGTCCTTTAAACTTAAGAAAAATTTATTTTTATATTACATATTTTAAAATACATGATAACACTTTTATTTAATATAAATATCTAGTGAATTATTATGTATAGAAGCTGCTTGAAACAGTATATAATTAAAAAGAAAATTACTGAGTATATTCTATTCCTAAATCATTTGGTCCTTCCACTGAAATTTAGGTTCTACACATTGTCAAGCACGGTGCCTCGTATATCATACAGCTTCGATAATTTTTATCCATCTAATTAGCCACAAAAGAATAAACATACCTTATGCTACATCTGTATAAAATATTTAGAAATTAAAAATCGAGAAAGAAATGACATAAAGTTAATAAAATACTTTATACATTAAAAAATTATGCCAGGCACAGTGGCTCACGCCTGTAATCCCAGTACTTTGGCAGGCCAAGGCAGGTGGATCACGAGGTCAAGAGATTGAGACCATCCTGGCCAACATAGTTAAACCCCATCTCTACTGAAAATACAAAAATTAATTGGGTGTGGTGGTGCATGCTTGTAGTCCCAGCTATTTGGGAGGCTGAGGCAGGATAATCACTTGAACCTGGGAAGCAGAGGTTGCAGTGAGCTGAGATCACGCCACTGCACTCCAGCCTAGTGAAGGAGCAAGACTCCGTCTCCAAAAAAGGGAAAAAATTAACTTACTTGCCATTCCAATAAAATTGCCAATGCAAAATGTTCACAGATCAACAAAGATTTACCCGAATGCAATTAGAAAAATTTATGAGTAAATGTACATACATGTGTTTGCATATACCATAACATACACATATCCATAGGTATATTATATTTACATGAATCTTATATATATGTCATAAATGTGTAAAAGTGATCCAAAACCGATGTATCAGCAAAATTTGTATTTTCTGTGCCTGATTCAAATGATTTTGAAACTATAAGTAGTTGGCTATAAGTTCATACATACATGTGTATATACATATATATTTATACATCATATATATGTATCTGTATGTGTGTACCCCTATATACACCCATGAGTATATATCCAATGCTAAGTCTCTTAGATTTTCCAAATCATTTAAGTCAACTGGGAAAAATCTATTGTGATGTTGTATTCAGACATGGCCAGCTATTACATTCTACTTACTGATACATCTTACTATGTTATTTTGTTGTTAATAAGATAGAATCAACTTTAAAATGCACTGTCAATTGTAGAGAAATTATATATGTTTAAAATTTACATTGCTTATAAGCTCCATTCTAATATCAGAAATATTGAAATGTGAAAAAGTATGTATTTATATTAAAACAGTATAATCATGATGTAAGGTACTTCAAAATAAGACATATCCAACAGTAAGAAATTCACTAAAGAAAATATTACATGAGATTTTAAAAAGAGATAATCAGAGCTAACTGTTTAATTGATAATGGTTCAAATTAGGACTTGCACTCTACATACCAGTAGCCTCTAAACGTTAAATCAAGCAGGAAATTGTGTGTGCACAAACACACACACATAGAATCAATGTATCATGGTTTATTATTTTTCATAAATCATGGCCATAGAAATTATAAATTATTCACAGTAGAGTTAATTCCAAGTAGGCCAAAAATGATTCTGCATATAAGTTTCCATGACAAATAAGAACAAGTATATAAAATCCTACAGATACATGACCCATAACACATTACAGAGCACTGATTTCCCAGAGGATAATGTAAAATTCATGTACCCAGTAACAGTTCTATTTTTGTTCTCTTCTATAACTCAGATCTATTCATGCCGTACATTTACTTTTACATAAAAATATTTTTTAGTTATCTGGGCTATTTCATCTGTGACAACAAGATTCTTATTTATTTTAAATATGAGTATCCTATTTTACTCTGAAGCATTTTTTTATGATCTTTCTGTCACCTTGATCATTTTTTAAAGTGTATAACATCTTTCATTCACATATCAGATAATTTCTTGTTTTAAATCCTAAAAATTCACATAAACAGGAAGAATTACTCAGGAATTTCATTTAATGAACTGGATTATACTTCTCTTTCTGAGAACTAAGCTCTATATATTTGATATGCTGGAATATTCCTATTATAAGCAAATAATCTCAAAAGAAATGATTAGTTTTATTTTTATTTTTGATTACTTTTATTAAAGAGAGAAAAGGTAATATTTGCTCCATGAATTTTCACTGAAGTAGAAATAAATGTAAGTAGAACAGTAGGGATGGAAACAGAAAAAACGGTTCTAATGCATGCAGAGGAGGGGTAAGAAAGTAAATATGCAGTTAATAAAAGAATAACACCTAGGCCTTCTATTTTTCGTAGCTTTGGGCTCAAATTTCAGTTGAGATCAGAAGGGAATTTCGTCTTATGTGCTCAAACAAATATACATTTCCTCTGTTCACCAAACAAGAATGACAGAAGCTTTTATCTGCTGGAGAATTTAACAACATCAATTAGTAATTAGGATATTAAACCAAGATCAGGACTGAAGGTTCCTGAAATCTGCCTGCTTTTTAGGACAAGGTTTTATCTCACTGAAAAAGAAATGGGAAATCTCTTGAGACTCTGACATCTGATTATATATCAGGCTCCCCTCTGTCTGTAACATGTATGTTTCCCTTCCTCTCACCATGGTCATGTTGCTTTTTCCCTCACCTCTTTAGAACTTGCTTTCTTTAATTAGCAAGGGAGTCCCTTCCTCATGTATATCACTGGTTCTTTCAAACTAGCATCATCCTTTGATGCTTTTTAGATCTTCATAGGAATCATAGGTTTTTCCTGGGAATACTCTAAACTCATCTAAATTTTAGATATATAGACCAAACTACAGATATTAATATTTTAAGGAGTCTTTATAATAAAATAAATATTAAGAAGTTATGGGTAAGTATAGCCAGAATGGCCTCTGTAGATAATTCTTTTTTGCAATGGTTATCAAAGTGTGGTGTGTGTATTAATGGTGCAGCATCATACGAGAACTTGCAAGAAATGCAGATTCTAGGACCTATCCCCGACCTACTGTATGAGAAACTTGGGTGGCAAGGGGTTGACCAGTTAAAGAAGTGGGTGGTGATTTTCACACATGCTAAAGTTTGAGAATCGCTCTTGTTCTGTTGCAGCCTAAACAAATAATAGGACTAATTAACCCTAATAATAATAATAGTATTTCTCAGTTCGAAAAACACAATTTTATCCCAGTTAGGGAAAGCAATCTTCTGACTGTTCCAATAAAGCTTTTATCATTTTTAGAACCATGCAGGCTACTGCTTATCTGAATCTTACAGTAAAGAATTAAGCAGTTTCAAACCCAGTATTTAAAACTGTCACACCGATCTCACTATATGAGAATGAGGGACATTAGCAAGATAATGTGGGGACACCTGGGCCACAGGGCCACAGATAGAAGGTTAGTCTGGTCAGCACTTCAGTCTCCAAATCTTTCCCCTAAAGTTGTCTTTCTTTCTATAACTGACTTTTCTCATGTCATTTTTCCCCAGATACCTTTATCAATGAATGTGTCAACCTTTCTGGCATACGACCAGCCCACAATAAGTTACTGTGGGGTGCATCATGAACTGCTCTCCCATAAGTCCTTTGAAACGAATGCACAGGAAGATACGATGGAAACACACCTAGAGACTGAGCTGGACCTGAGCACAATCACAACAGCTGGCCGAATCAGTGACCATAAACAGCAGCTAGCTTAACTGAGATCACTGGTAGCCAAGGGTTGCTACCAAACTTCGTAACCTCAAGGACAAAATGAGGGAGATGTGTTCATTGCGGACTCTAAAAACAAAACAAAACACAAAATCCACTGTTCAAAGAAACAAAAAATCCAAGATTGATTCATGAAATAAAGAAGACATGAATTGTTTTAGTCTACACTTTGTAATTAGCTAAGTTGTGCAGTATTTTTTGACTTAAACAGAGTATGACCCTGAAAAATAAAAGAATCTTTTTTTCAAAACTCATCCTACCTACCTGTAAAAACTGTACAAAGCTAATGTATTTTTCATATTGTAAAGTTTCAATGATAGAAACAACTGGTATGTACAGTACCATAATTTAATTACATTTTACTTTAAAACCTTTACATATTTCAGTTCTAAAATTTTAACTTAACAATTATTTCTTGTGTTATTCAGAGTTACTCAGTTTTGTAGGGACTGTTTTGTTACTGCTTTTGTGCCCAGAAACCTTGACTCTAAAATTCTGTGCTGTGCGAAACATGCACGATTTTTATTATGCTTACTTGCATAGAATTTTATCTACTTGTTCCAGAAATAATACATTAACCAAAAAAGATTTAATTGTTCAGACTTGTAAGAAGTTCTTCAATTACATAGACAGGTTTTTCTTAAAAATGAAAAAAAGAAATCAAAGATTTTTTAACAGTTCTCAGACTTAACTGTTGCCTTGAATTACAGCCTAGTTTCTAAGCAGTGAAATGTAATGATAAAGAGGGATATTTTAACAACATATTTCTGAATGAATGACTCATTATTTCATTCTTTTGAGTAACCATTGTTAAGGGTTGGGGGGAAGAATGGATGAAACATCACTGGAAACAAAGGCCGTAACCACAGCAACAGACTTTGTGATACAGTTAAAACATGCAGCTGCCAGTGACAAAAACTTTTGTTACATCTCATTATTTTCAGGCCAGGGTGGGAGTTGAGTGACCACCAGTCAGTGAAAAATGTGCCTGGTTCTTAAGACAACTTTTCATTTAGAACTGTGAGACCATATTTTAGAAACATTTCAAAGGAAACATGAATTTTTTTTACATTGTGCATTATATCATTTCTCTCCTGAGGAAGAATTTTAAACATGTTCAGCTCATTCAATATAGATATGAGCCGTGATGGAGGACTTTATCACTGAAGTAAATTGTAAAATCCTTAATGTGTTATAAATTGTTTATGTTGCTATCCATAATGGGATTCACCTCCAAATTATCAAAGAAATAACTCAGAGTTATTTGACACCAGCCCAGATCATATATTGATTATACAACTGTATTATAAAGTTAATTCAAATCACATTAAGAAAACCTGAGTTTTCAGAAGCTGAAATAATCAACTTGTTTGTGTTGTTTGCTTGACATAGGTTATTGTTTGAAAATATTGTTACTTTATCAATAGTAATCACACATTCTTGTTTCTTTTTAATGGAAAACTGCAAGTTTCAATTACTGTTGCACTAGAAGCGCTTTTTATGTTGTCATTTTATATTCATGCCACCATAATTAGATTGAAAATACATCAATCGAACAGGAGTCAATCAAAACAATGAAGAAAATAACTGAAAACAATGTCAAACGTTTAAATTTTTCTCTCTTCCAAAGAAATTATATCTATAAAAGTCTAGTTTTATGCAGGGTTGTCAGAGCAAATTTAAAAGCAATTTCAAGAAGAATGAACTTAAAAACTGTGGAGCAAATTTTTGTTGAAAATATATAAAGTCAGAGAGAGAAACAGATGTAAATGTTGGAAGAAGTAAAATCTATTACTAATTCAAATGAAACTAAATGTCAAACACAGTACTTGTGTCAACTATTTAGCATCCCAGATTTTGTAACATATTTTGCATAAATTATTTGCTATTCAAACATTTTTGTCATTTTAAGTCTAATTTTAATCTTTATGTTTTCCATTTTCTAATTTCCCTGCAATGTATTAGTCTTAGAGTATTATTAATTTTCTACATTGAGATTTGGCTTTACATCATTAGCAAATTTATAAAGGGTTATAAATCTATTATTTGTGAGTCTAAAATCAAATGCGAAATTTTATTTATTATGTAAATCAAAATGTCATTTGCAAGTTTTCTCATTAGAAGTTGTCCTTGCAAAGTTAGAAAAGGAAGAATTAATTTGTGTGAACAAGCACAAATTAACATATTTGTTAATAAATAGGTTTATTTGCTAATAAACCTATTTGTAAATACATTCAAATTGACAATGATTTTAGGAATGTTACAGTTCCAAAAAGTCTTACAGGTGTATACCCTTGATTTCCTGAAGCAAACCACTTTCTTTCTTAAATATTCTAAGTTCATCTAAAGTGAACAACTATAAATAGAAGCAATCACCTAGGAACCACAACTCTGTGCAACCAAGGCCCTAAGCTACACCAAATAAGTCAGGATTTTTGAGATTTCTCATCTTTGAAATTCAACCAAAAGGGTCTTTAACAAGAAAAAAAAAAAAGCTGGATTATTACTATTATTTTTGCTTCATTTTTATTCTGCCGCATCCAGGTTAAGGGTGAAGATGGCAACAACCTGCTAGAAAGACTGTCTGGAATCTTTATCACGTATTTGCAATTTTTATCTGTTTTTGTCTAAAACTTTCATTTCTATCTTTTTCAGCATTTGATAATCTCCCATTTCCTCCTTCTAACCCCCATTCCTATGTCTCCCTTCCTGTCTATTCCTCACCGATTTAAACAACTGAAATGTTTACTTATGTTTGCAGCTGAAAAATGGAGAGTTTGACCCAGCATGGTTACAATAACAGCCAGCAGCTGAAGCAAACAATAAACTTATGCAGTGTTTTGAGGTTTACAAACCACATTTTACATAAATTATCTCATTTTGTCTTCATAACAACCCTGTGAAGACACATTTATCTCAAAAAGTTGAGCCCTCGCCCAAAAACACAGTACTAATAATTGGTGCAGTTAAATCCCACTCAAAATTTACAGGCTGTTAGTCTTTCCACTGTACTAAAAGCTTTCTTTGTCTGATCAGAGCCAGAGAACTTCCTGAGATAATGGATAGAACTAAAGAAAAAAATATATATATTTGACATGTTGTTTAGTAATCTCTACTTTAAATCCATTTCTCCATCTGTGAAATATTAGCTAACTGAATTCTTTCTGTGTGCTACTCTGGGCTCTCACATTAAAACTCTGTTCAAAAATTTTGACAAGTCACCTATTTCTTAACATACAAGTTCGTTTGCAAATGTGCAGAACAGATGCTCCCAAGATGTGGATGCATGTAGGCCCCAAGGAACAGACATGAAATCAAGGAAGTGCAAGGAAAGAAACCACAAGGAAAAAAACCAAAGACCTTCTAAATTGAGACTACATAATTATAAAAGAGATCCATAGTACAAGGTTGAACACATGTTCAATACATTGCCAACTGAACACATACTCAATTCGGAGCTAATTAGGAAGACATATAAAATTCTTTTTCTTTTTTTCTTTTGGCAAGATTTCTTAAATCATGATTTTTTTTTTTACTTATAATACTAGAGAACAATTTTCTCTTTTTACCTTATAAGAAAAATAAAATATAATTTATCCAAATTGATGTATAGAACCTAAAATATATGCTAACATGCAAATAATATATTTTACTGATCAACTCATTTTTGTCAAGTCTCTATTTCTAGTCCCTCCTGAATGTTTTAGAAAACCAGGAAACCATACACATTTTTAATACAAATTATGTTTTTACAAGGAAAGAAAACATTTCCAAATTTAACACTCAACACTAATCACATAATCCTAATTTGAACTCAGATCTCTCTGACTCCATAGACTGATTAGAAATAGTAAAATCTTTTTGCAAAAAATATTTTCTAAAATAAAACTATTGTATATGAGAGTAAAACTATATTTGTTTTTGATTGTTCCTGACTGGAAGACAGAGATCATCTCTCAAACTAAATATTCAAAATAAGAAATTGAATGCATGAAAACCAATACCTGATGTGAATTGTTGTTATTAAGGTGTATGAAAGAAATGCAGATGTTTGGGTATACGAAAGCATGTGAAAGGAGAGATTGAGACTGGCAGGTATTTGGCCTCAGGAGAAGAGGCAAAAAATTTCCAGAGTAGATATAATAACATCTCATATTGGCACAGCTGTTAACAGTTTATAATGCTGGGTAATACAACAGTCTTCTAATAGATCAAAAAGTCTCAAGGTACAGATGGACTGGTCTTGCAACAAACAAGAAAGAGCTTCCAACTCCTCCCATGACCTTCTTAGTTTCCGCAGCTGTCCCTAAACAGGGAGGCACCAAGTGCAAAAGACCCAGGAGCAATGTTTTCAAAATTCTGATTTATCCCAAAGGTAGGGTACCTGGACAATCGACATTTTGCCATCAACATTAATGGGAAAGAAATGTTTGAAAATGTAAAACCAAGCAAACACACACACACACACACACACACACACACACACACACACACACGGGAAAGAAATGTTTGAAAATGTAAAACCAACCAAACACACACACACACGCACATACACACACACACTCAAAGTGGTGGTGGTTCTTTTTTGAAGGTTTCTCATGACTTCCATTACAGTTTTATTGTGATATAGGAGGCAATTTTTATTTAATTTCTTTAGGGTAAAATCCACGTTTTAAAAGGTCCACCATTTCTTTTTTCCTTTTTTCATTCTATGAAGGACAGTGATCTTTTTTTTTTTTTTTTTTTTTTTTTTGCATTTTAGCTTTTGGGGTACATGTGAAGAACATGCAAGATTGTTGCATAGGTACACACATGGCAGTGTGGTTTGCTGCCTTCCGTCCCCAGTGATCTTAAAGCAGCAGAGTGCCTCAGCCATCTAGGACTTTGACCACTAAGTTTCTTCCTTCTAGCTCTTATTTATAAATTTTGTGTTATATGATATTTGTCTTCCTGAAAAGCTGAGAAAAAATTTGTTTTGTGTAAATCAAATAATATTTCAAATGTATCAAGAGGCCTTGTGATAAAGGAACCTTGAAATTGTTTTCTAATCTGAAATATTACCCACTACTTTATCTTTTTTAAATTGATTTCCATATATCTTGTTATAATGCAGCACACTTTCATCATGTGGTTCAAAGGTTCTGCAAGACAATCTTTGCTTCAGACTATATGAAATGATAGGCTGAATCCAGGTTTTGAGTCAGTCAATATGAGCAATCAGTTTCCGTCATTTCCACTTACTGCCTTTACCTGGAGTAATGTGGAAAATAGTGGTAAGACAACATGGATGGATAACGTTGACAAATAATTTTTTTACTTGTTTAAACATTTTCCACCTATTTTATCCTCAAAGTTACTATTAAGAGGTCAAGATGACTCCAAATCTCTTATGTCTATACTAGATTCACTGAATCAGAATTGCTGGGATGGATCCCAAAATATGCACTGCTAACACATTAGTGAGGTGATACTAATGCATGCTAAGTTTTGAAAAATATTGTTCAAATGAATTTACTTTTCCAAAGTCATTCAATTGTATTATATTCTAATCTAAAATTATGAATTCTTGTGCTTTCCAATATCAATGTGAATCTAGTTTTCTAAGCCTGACTGAACATTTTTCTTGACTGAGGAAAGCATAGCAAAAGACAACTATACATAAAATGCTTGGGTTGCTTCCTGACAGATGGTTGTTTATAGATTTTATTCCCCCTTAACTCTTTCGAGAAGCATATCTGAAAACAGTCTTAAGGCAGCTGGGTTAGTTATTTGTTAGTTGCACCCATGAATATAACAGCTGAAAAGCTGGAGGTGGGGAGAGAGGCAGGAATTTATGATGTATCAGGCACTATGCCCTCCTCATCTCATTCTTAAACCATTTTAGGAAAGAAGTATAATCACTATTTTAAAGAAAGGAAAATAAGGCTCAGGCTAATTAAATAACTTGCCAAGTCTCAGACAGCGGAGTTGAAGATTCAAATCCAGATTTGTTCAACTCTAAGGATGTGTTCCTATCCCCCCATAGCAGATTTTCAAAAGTGAGAAGAGATCATAATCAATATAATGAGGTTTATATGTTTTAATGAGGGGAGGGTGTTGAACACAGCAGAAAAAGAATTTGCCTTTCTATTTTCAAACAGAAAAATTATCTTACACTGTGTAGATATTTCCTTCAGAATCCTAAACCAGCAACCTAATGGAAAAAAACACCCAGTATTTTCTTAAAGTTTTATACATGGTTTCATAAAAAAAAGTAGAAAGGTGAAAGAAAAATCATTCAAAACATAAGTACCCCTAAATATTTATGTTGTATTTTCACTTGCAATCATCTTAGTTCTTTTATAAATTTATAGCCAAAATATGATAAGGAAATATCAATAATATAACCTTTAACTGGCCAAAAAAAGAGATGAGGTTGCCAATTTTAGCAAAAACTATATGGTTGAATGGTCAATAAAGTTACCAAGTGCAAATGACAAGGTGGAGGAAAACACTAATAATCTACAGTCACAAATTGTCAACTGGCAATGACATGGCTTGGGCTACGGAATATTTCCTGTGAATGATTTTAAATGGCAATATTCTTTATACGAGTATTATTATTTACACAGATGATATGGGATCTGGAAGCATACTGCATCAAAGGAGGCTGAAAAATAACCTTTATAACAAGGCAGACTCTACTTGTCCTACTCAGAATGTAATATATGTTTAAATATAAAATAAATATCATTTCCTTGTTTAATTATTATTTGGAGATGGAAAAATATAATTATTTTTTGAAACGTTTTTAAACTCACATATTGGAAAACACCTTCCTCAGACTTAGCTATTCACAATGATTCTTAGATAGTCTCTCGACTCCTTTAGTGTCTCAGGAGCTTTTTATTAAAT